AGATTAACCTTCAGGGTGGATATAGCTTGCTAGCAGCCTCGCACCGAGGACCTATCCACGTCATCATTTACCCAGAATGCTTTGTGTGCAAATAAAATGGCTCCGTCCGTGTTAAAATATATTTTTAAACTTTACAAAACTGAACATCCTACAGTATTTTTACAGTCTTTATTTTACATAAATATATATTTATTAAATAAAGTCTAATGTTACAACTAATCAGGGATCCCTTTAAGAGTCTTTGTTCTCCATCTGAAGCCAAAAACATCGTCTGTCACAGTTTCATGATGAAAACTGCATCATTTTCTTGTGGAGTACTTCTGTCTGAGCCTTTTCAGCACGAGGCCTGCTGTTCAAAGTGGCATGCTGTCACTAAAGCACACTGCAAGTTTGATTTTTATAACTCCGTCTGTCAGTTTAGGCTGAGTGAGCCCCTCTAACATCAACCCTGTTTGTCTCATGAAACAATGAACAAACTGTAGTGCAGCTGTAATGTGCTGCTGATGATTGGATGTACACCCAATTCAAGATGGCCTCCACAAATAGTTGAGTTTAACCAACACAACTCAGTCAATATTGAAGATACTGAGGTTGGGCATTGTTACATGAGATCTGAACAACTTCCTGTACCAGGTTTGACCAAAACAGTCAGTTTTTAGCAATCATCTTGATTTAAAATTCTGTTTTTAAAGGCAATGGGCCTGGTCCTTCAATGAATTGATTATTCATTTAATTGAAAGCTATTTTTCTGAGTGAGGTCTTATCTTTGGTACAGGAAGTTCTCTCTGGATGACCTGCTGACTAATGTGATGATTTACTGGACGTCTGGTTGCATCATCTCCTCCATGAGGTTCTACAAGGAGAACTTTGCCAAAGGTCTGGACCATCCCCACATGCAGTGAGTGACAGTCCTGTTCTGTTACAGTCAGGGCTATTTAGATTCAGTTTCAATTTATTTTGGACATTTTATGTGTGAATTCTTTCAAAATAAAAAATATATTCTCCTTGATGCAGTCTCCTCCCTCCTTGTTCGTAGAATACCAGTCTACGTGCCCACCGGCATCGCCAGCTTTCCTAACGAGCTGATGCACACACCCAAACTGTGGGCCAAACAGAAATACCACAACCTGGTGACTTTCACTCCCATGGCTCGTGGAGGCCATTTCGCTGCGATGGAGGAGCCCCGTCTGATGGCAGAGGACATCCAGAAGTTCATCAAGATGGTGGAGAAGAAGAAGCAGTAAAAAAACAAAACAGGTTGAGTGTTTAGAGAAGTGAAAGTGGTGCGTTAACAAGTATTTTCCTTTCTGGACAAAATGTAGTTTCTCTGAAGAAGCACGAGCAGAATATGTTAATGTCACCAGAAATATAAAGTAAAGGGATCCCCTATTAGTTGTAACATTAGACTTTATTTGATAAACATATTTTAACTGTAAAATAAAGACTGTAAAAATACTGTAGGATGTTTAGTTTTTATCATTTTTAAAC